CATGAGTGTTCTTATGTCTATTATTTGGCCACTAAAAATAATAGATCAGTTCATACAAGTTTTCCAATTAAAAAAAAGTATATCTGCATTGCTAATAGTAGAACGTATATTTAGTAGCTTAAAAATGTGTAGTAGCAACAACAACAACAACAAACCCCGGCATAAAAATAACGGTGATACTTTGTTTGAACCGCAAGAACAAATATACTAATTTTGAGGAATTTGGTAATTTTTGTGGCAACACTGCTTTAAACTATCACCCGCTACCATTTCATTTCTCCTTTTGTTCCCATTTCATAATGTCATATTTTATGGTCATATAAAGGCGTGTGACGGAAATATGTGGTTTTTCTAATAAAAATGAATTTCTGGTAGTGTTGTAAATGTAAAAGAAATTTTTATGAATGAATTCAAAGTCTTAATGTGTAATGTAATATTGAGAATATGGGACAGGCCATATATTTTTAATTTGGCGATCACTCTGGAGTCTGAAGTGACGTGTAAATCACCCGTGGCTTTTAAGATCGCTTTGCTGTATTAAGAGGTGAAATTTGTTTTATCAGGTGCGTTAGGACATATTTTTTAAACATCTCCGAAGTCATTTAATAATTGGGTGATGTTTTACATAGTCCAGTAATTAAAATCATAGTTTTGATAATTTATAATGCATCACAGCCGGAAATGCTTTCATGTAAAAAATCGCAGCTCAAATTAAGCGTATGTATTTATACAAATGGGATTAATTTAATAGTAATAGCGTTTCTTTAGAAAACAGCACAATGGTAATTTCTCGACATCTTGAACAACTGGGAGACAGAATAACTTGGTGACACAGTGAGCCACAGTCAAAGTGAGCCACAATATCTAGTTAGCAGAATTATTTCAAAAAAATATTGAAAAGCAACCCAGATCATAATCCAGATTGAGAAAACTTGTATGTATTGTTTGAATATTAAGCTTCAGTAAATTAGCTGTTATGGCAAGTGCAATTCCTTTCACAAGTCTCAAACTGAAGGATTTCCAAAAGAGATTGCAGGAGCAGTTACTCCTTGCAAATAATGTGGCTTTCGAAAGCAGTTTTTATTTCTGAAAATCTAATTTTCCGACACTACGTTTTGTCTGTTTACACTGAGAAAGCATACAAGTCCACTATCAATTTTACAACAAATTCGCGAAGAAACGCGTCACGGCATCACGATTGGTTTGACGTTCCCACGACAGTCGGGTCTACGTAACCGGAACGACCCAGATTTCTATCTGGCCAAGGACTGTCACTCCAGAAACACTCCCCAAAATCTCTTTGGGGAATTTGTATGTTATTACTACAACAACAGCGATTGGTTTGACATCTCTTGCCGCAAAAATGAAAATTTGCTAGTGCAGCACGAGCAAATTATTACTCGAAAGCGATTCGCGTAATTTCAGTTGCAGTTAATTAAACCTTGAATTACTCGTATACCCGCAAGTGATTTCTGCAAATCTGCAAAAAGGACTTTCTTGCTGTTTACACGGGAAAGTGACAGCAAAATGCGTAGAAAAAGCGCTTGCATTGCCACGTTTAACCGTACCTTAATTCATCATGTACATGAAATAGTTTCTTTGTTTATTAAGCTCTACCCAGAAATACAGGGGACGACGGTAAAGCGGTCGGCGGTAAGTGAACAGCTGAACACTTGCCGGAGTGAAATCCGTCAGAGTAAACACAATTGCGACACACGACGGCTTTCGTCAGTTGTCATTTTGATTTGAAAATTATCTTTATAATTAAATATTTTTTCAGCACGTGCGTGGTGTAGATTTTCTGGAAATAAAAATAGATGAAAACATTGGCAAACTTCCGCTGGGCGGAAAAATAGAAATAAATTTAAATCAATCGAAAAACGTCGGCGGTAAAAACGCTGCCACCGCAATCATGAACCATTCATTTGTGAGCTTTAATTTTGGTAGAGCTTTATAAAAAAATCAACAAACACTAAAATAGTTCGTAAATCTATCTCTCAGTGAAAGTGAGGTACCTAAACAAAATTAACTTTAATAACAAATTAATACTTTTTTGAGCCTCCTTTCACAGGCAAATGTTGATAGAAATTGCGCGCCACTCGGCTTGTAAGGCATCTAAAACGCCCTATTTCCACGAAATGCTATGTTTTCGTACATTCTGGTCAACACGAGCCAACAAGTTTTATATTATATTTAAATCTGGAGATTATGGTGGTACCATTCCGCGCAGCAAAGGATTTCTCCTGGTAAAAATAAAACTTTCCTTCGATCCTTAGTCTTTCAGCACTTGCCTCAACATTTTGTTTTAAAATGTCTATATAAAACTTTGTTGATAATGCCTGGAATATGTTTCAGATTTTCAATGCCACCACCTGCCATCCAGCCCCAAACCACGACTGTGCTTCATACTGTGAGTACGGTTTTGCTGCTGAAACTCGGAGTTCTTTTGCCTCCATACCATCTTATCGTCTGAGCCAAATAAGTTAAATTTACTTTCGTCGGTAAATGGACCCTAAAAAAATATTAATGCTTCAAAAGTATTCTACCGTTATATACCTTTTGTCAGAAATGCGTATCTTTATGGATATATTTGCGTAGACTCCTGCCGTTTTTACAGTTTTTATTGCTAATAAAGGCTTGTTTCTGGCCGTCCATCCATTTCTGAGAAGCCCTTTCACAGTTTCCGGCTTAACGTGGATATTTAATTGCTTTTCAACCACCTTTTTCAATTTTGGGGCACTTAGATGAGGATTTTTCATGATTTCCCGTACAATAAATGCCTCACCTCTTTTTTTTTTTGCTCCACTCTGCTTGATTGCTATTGTTCCTCCTCTAATAAAGCGACGTATGATGTGCTTGACAGTCCCTCGATTTAAATTCACATATTCTGCAATATCTCTTTGAGTTTTCCTTTTTGGTGACGTCCAATTACACTGTGTAACAATTTGAGGGTCATTGTCTGGGGGCGGAACGATTCCAACTCTGGATGAAAGACCCAGACCCATATAGTAAAATATCGTTTTACTTTCTTTGGTCATATTTCTTTGCTCTGGCCATTTTAAATTTGCAATATTTTGCCAAGAGTCTTTAGAATAAATGAAAAAAAGGGTTAAAATACATATCGGAGAGAAATATGCTGTTGCGGGACATATAGTAAAATTTTACGAGGAATAATTTTGTAAAACATTTTATCCCGTTATCTCCCTCAAAAAATGGTCGTTTTGACACTTTTTTTTAGAAAGTCCGAGTGGCATTTTCAAGGTCGCTAGAGGGTTAAAAAAACTTTTAGAAAATTATTTGCCATAAAATTTCACTAGGAGTCCTCTCACACAAAATCTTTGTACAAAGAATCTGTAAGTTCACAGAAAATAAAAATATGCACAATTTTTTTTTAGCTTTATTTAATATTTCGTTTATATATATAACTTGCTCTTTTCGGGCCTGAGTGTTCGGGAAGTGTAAAACCAGCATCGGAATCATCGCTGTTATCGGAGTCATGATGCCCACGTGTGTTTCCAATGCTGGTTCTACTGCGTCTGTTCCTCTATATCTGTATCGTTTTTTTAATTAGAATATGTTAAAATGTTTTTGTGTTACAAGTATTTACTACCGCATTTCAAACGGAAGAGCCACTTTATGGTAGCGCTCGCCGTGCTCATGTGAATACCTGCTTGATAAAATGAGCCACATGATGATGTAAGTTGTGAATTTTAAAGGACATGTACTTTTTGGTACATATTTACCACAGCAGTAGCAAAAGCTGTTAATATCTGACTTCCATTTCACTTTTTCAATAAAATTATTGGGTCTGTTCAGGATCTTGTGCATATGCTCTTGCATTTGCATATTCGTTGCATTTGTAAAATCACAACAATAAAATGCACATGGTTGCCATGGCAGCAAGCATAAGATTTGCAAATGCAATTCCAACTGCAAATCCAAGACCATTTCCACAACATCCTGAACAGCCCTAATATGTTAATTTTTTTTTTGCAATGGGCAATTCTCACAAACCAATTTTTTTTGTGAAACAATTTTTTCTCAAATCGTGAGCACGTGTCTGAAATTTTTAGTATATAGTAGAGGAGACCTTCACCGATCTGATAACTCGATGAGACATATTTTTTATCAAATATAATTTACAAACAAATATGTCTATGATAACTTGCCTATCGAAAAGTGTTCATAGCTATTTTTAATTTAATTAATTTTAATCAATTTTCTTTCATCGCCTTTACTCTTGTCAATGAGTTTTATCTCAATTGATAGTTTTTAACACACAGAATATGCCCAGGTAGGCTTGCCTACTTATTTTTGTGCATAGCTACGTGGCAAGTACATAAAATATTATTGCCAAGCTATAAAGTTTTAAAATATTAGTTATTTGATGAATAATAATAATGAATATTTGAATTTAATTTTTTGTGTATTTTGTATATTTGTCGTAAACGCTTTTAACAACCTAAATGTATTAAATTTTATTTTTATATTTTGATGATTTTTTTTATTTATTATAATAAAATTTTAAAAGTAACACTTATTCTTTCCCGCTTTACGGCAATTATTTGACTTTAAATAATAAATAAATTATTTATTTATTTATTTATTACAGTCATTTGACTTATATACATTCACGTATATACATTTGAATTATGTATTGCAATATACAATAAAAGTAAAGTTAAATTTAATGCTTAAAATACGTTAACCTGTTACATTTTTCCTTCTAAGCTATATAATAGTATGTATATTTAACTAAGCATATTCTCGATGCTGTTGGAATGGACGGGATTCTAAGCAGTACCGTAAATATATCACGTACGACATGCGGTCTAAGAGTGTAATTTCCAGAGCCGGCACAACTGAGCGGTTGGAAAGGACTAGTTTCCAAGCCGCTTCTTATAAACTGCTCTACCAGCAGGCGATCTGAATGGACGAAATCCAGGGTCGCGCCATTTGATCGGACGGAAAGGACTAGTTTTCATGCCGACCTTCTTATTTCATACATTATGGGTGATCTGAATGGACTAAATCCAGAGTCATCCAGCCAGTACGGATGGAAAGGACTAGTTTCCATGCCGGACCTTTCTATCTGATATCCAATGTTCTACAGTGATCAAGTAGCAGCCTTTTGAAGGTACCAACGTTTTCGCAGTTTTTTTATTTGAGCTGGAAGCTTATAACATTTTAATCCCTTATAAAAGATATTCTTCTTATCTATTTCCGTTTTATACAGCGGCAGCCTGAAACTATTATTTCCCCTGAGTAAATACGAATGGGTTTCACTATTATATCGTAGGATATCACTCAGATAATCTGGGAGTCTACCTTGTTTTATGTTAAACACGAATTTCATAGCGTGATAGAAAATTTGCTGTTTCACGCTCAGCCAGTTTAATTCTGCGATCATTTCTTGTTCAAGATAAATCGCATAGCCCTATTTTGCATTTTTTGAAGCTTATCTATTTGTGTGTCGCTTGCTATAAAAAAGATAGTTGGACAGTATATGAAATGTGGTTCAACTATAGATCTGTAGACCAAAGTCTTATACCTCCTTCCTAAGTACTTACATGATCTTTTCATGAGGCCAATTTTTTTTACCAATTTTTGCTACTGTGTAGTCAATATGTTCCTCAAATTTTAACTTATCATCGATATATATACCTAGATATTTAATGATTCTCACTTTCTCAATTACTTCATCTTTAATTTTTAAACTGTAATTATCGGAGCTAACATTAGCTGCTCTAGATATGACCATAAACTTTGTCTTGTTCACATTTAATTGCAGTCTGTTTACGCACAACCATTTATACAAACAATGAAGGTCTTCTTGCATTTTAATCATTG